CCAGAGGGTGGGGAGGGGATGACACTCACTTCCCTGGCGGGAGAAAGCCTGGATGCTGTGAGAAAGGAGGCATGGGCTGGGGTGGCTGTTGGGTGGTGGTGGATGGAACAGAAACCTCAAAGACGATCATTTGGGTTAAAGCATCCTGCCCGGCTCTCACCAGCTCAGCCCTGTGGGGGCACGGCAGAGGCACTGGGCACAGAGCAGGCCCCCACGCTGGTTCTGCCTGTGGGCACTGGGGTAGCTCTGTGAGATCCATCCGACGGGGCTGGACTAATGGTGGGCTGACTGAGGTCCTTTCTAACGTAGCCATTGATTCCCACATTCTAACACAGACGTTGATGCTCACATTTCTTGATTAATTTTGAATAGAAATTCGCCATGGCCCGTTTCTTTTGAGACACTGCCCTGGGGCTCAGATGGAGGGGTAGGGCACTGTTCACATGTGGATTCTATGGTGGGGATGCCCTGGTGGCCCCCAAAGCACCCATGTCCCACCCCGCCAGTAGCTCAGGTACCAGCTAAGTACGACTGCATGGACAGGTGCTGCAGGTTTACTCCAGTAAACAGATAACATTGGCTCGCTCCTGCATGCCGAGGCTCGGAGGGCCTTTCCTTAGACTGGGCCCTTGCTTGATCCTGGACTCACAGTTAAGTATCTTCCTAGCAGAAAATCTTTACGTAATGGACTTGACACTCTGTGGGACAAGGATATTGACAAGACACATGAGGAAATTACTGGGTCTGCAGCTCAAGGAATTGGCTCCCTGTTCCCTGCTGCCTGGGGATAACTGGGCCCCACATAGCCTCTGTGCTCCGGGGCCCACGTCCCAAAGTGAGGGCCAGGCTTTGGGGACTGTGATGGTCCCTCCTCATCACCCCTGTTGACTCTGCTCCACCAAGAGCAGCCCTAGAGCTGGGTGAGTGGCTCTGTCTGGGGAAACTTGGACACAAGCTGGAGGGGAGGCCCTGGCCCTGCCACCAAGAAACCAAGTGGCCTTAGTGGGGAGCAGGAGAAGGCGGATCGGGAGTGGGGAGACTAGATTCCACTGCAGCCTGTGAGGCCTCGGGCAGGTCCCTTCCACCCTCCAGACCACGTGTTTCTTTTCTGGAGAATGAAGTCAAGTCTGGCTGCCCTGTGGCTGGGGGGTCCATATCTGGGACACATATCGCCCACCTGTGTGGGGCACGCTGGCTGGGAAGTCTTGGCCTGGGTGACCCAAGATCCTGCCCTAGTGCTTTAGGATTCCAAGGCTGCCACCCTGTAGGACTGTATGAAATCTGGTGGGAGGCCCCTCCCTGCTTCCACACACCCGTATTTGGCTGTATGTGGCCCCCAGCACCGTCTCTGTGTAGAGAGGCTGTCTCAGGGGCATGGAGTCTTGGTGGCCTCCTCTGGGCTGCCCTGGCCCATCTGGGGCACCAGGGGATGATGGTGCTGTGTCTCTGGGGCCTGGTTGCTGCTATCTCTTTACTGTCTCCCATCTGAGAATTTGGTGCCTGGTTATAGGGGCCTCCAGGAACATCTGTTGTTGTTCATCTCTCGCCCCCTCTCTCTGCTGGGGTCCTTGGGAAGTCCTGCTTGGATTCTGCTGGCAGTGAAAGCTGCTGGGATCCCCATAACACCCTCTGATGGCCAGAAGCCCTGGGGCAGGGCGGGCCCTCGGGCTCTCCCCGCCTCTCTGCCTAGTCCCACCTGACAGGCCCGGGTTCAGTGATGGGTCAGCTATTCCTGAGCCCAAGGCCAGGTGGGGAGCAGTCTGGCTGTGCCCTGACCCACAGTGACAGTGATGTGGGAAGTTTCCAGATGTCCTGCTCTCGCCTTATACATGGGAAGAGAGTTTTCATGGAGAAGTAAGGTTTGTCCCGTTTCTAGTAATTCCAACTGCCCCCTTGAAAGCAAGACACAAGTGTTTAGGGGCACCTGGTGCACAGCAAGAGCATGGGCCTTGAGCCGGCAGTTCTGGGTTCGAATCCTGACTCGCCACTTTAGGGGGGTGTCTTGGGCCTCACTGTGGCTTTTTTGAGCAGTGGTGCCCATATCCATAAGATGCACATGTGACCACTACTAATAGGGCTGATAAAGAGCCATCCTTTCTGCTGAGGGTGTTTGGTGGAGGCTGGAGGTCTTCTAAGGGGATGCAGGGGTGCAGGAGCTGAAGTCGAGCATCCATCTCGTCCCCAGGCTTCTGTGACTCTGTGAATACTGAACCCTAGCTGGTCCCGTCTGGGCAGGCAAGAGAAGGTGGAAAAGGTGGGGAAGGAAGATCTCTCAGGCAGAGAGGCCGCCGAGGGAAGGAGGTTCTGGAGGGTGGTGTGGAGCGTGCAGGGGCGGGCCTGACAGGAGCGAGGGTGAGAGGGACTGGGTGGGCCGGGCAGCGGTGTCCCTCACCACCACCGGGGCCATGCCTCAGGCCAGGGAGAAGCGGCGGGCAGATGACCTTGGCTGGCGCTGCCTGTGCATTCTGGGGAGGGGCAGGGGGTTTCTCGGGCCTCTGCTTTTCATGCAAGTGCTACCAGGGGCACGGGCATGGAGAGTATTTGTGGAAACATTATTTTCCTTTCTGTAACCAGAAGGGGATTTAGGAGTCAAATCGGCCCACCCCTTCACCTCACAGAAAAGGAAACTGAGGCCCAGAGAGAAGGGGCAGACATAGACCAGGGTCCAAGTTCTGGTTCCACCGCTGCCCAGTGTGTACCTTAGGCAGGTTCCCCCCCACGCAGCCCCCGTTTCCTCTTGCCCAACATGGGGACAGTGGAACCCTTGCCTTCTGGGATTTTTGTAAGGACTGAATGAGATAATGCGGGTAAGTGCTTGACCCAGTGCCTGGTATGTTGCGCTAAACTATGTTAGCTATTTAAACATTACTGTGGAGTGATTTCTCCAAGCTCAGATGGCAGGTTGTGGCAGGGCCGGCCTAGAACCTGGCATTCTGGAAACAGAAATGATCACATGCCTTTTGGTGACATGGGGGCTGTAGTGGA